AAGAGCTGTGGTATTCAAATCATCTCCAATATCAGCGTTAGCTCCATTCTTGAGAAGCACATCAGCGACACCTCCGTGACCTAAAATAATACGGATCAATGAGAGAGATCGACGCGATATCTTATTTAGTCAACCTTACCATTCATAGCTGCCAAATGAAGAGGTGTCTCATGCATATGATCTTTGATATCAAGATCGTTTGCTTTACGGATGAGAACTTTAGCGATGCTCTTGTGACCTGAAAAATAATTCAGATCGATGAAAAAATTAAACGAATTTCCCATTTAGTGAAAAACAGTCAAGGCTGCATTGACGAAATATAGTAGACATCACACACAACTCTGACACCCGTGTATGCTAGTCGGTTTTGTGTGTGAGTTGGTTGCGATGGCTGTATATGCGGCGTTTGTTTCACGATAGTTGTGTGTGATGTCAACTGTATTGCATCGAGATATGCTTGTCTATTGGCCGAAGCATATTCAATGCTTGCTGCTAAGCAATACTAATGCGCATAGTACTCGAAAAAAGTATTCAAAATTACCATGGGAAGCAGCATAATGAAGAGGTGTCTCAGTCCAAACATTTTCGATATCAACATTGGCTCCTTTACTGGTGAGAAGTTCAGCGATGCTCTTGTGACCTGAAAAATAATTCAGATCGATGAAAAACTTAAACGAATTTCCCATTTAGTGAAAAATAAAGTCAAGGCTGCATTGATGAAGTGTAGTAGACATTACACACAACTCTGACACCCGTGTATGCTAGTCGGTTTTATGTGTGAGTTGGTTGCGATGGCTGTATATGCGACATTTTTTTACACGATAGTTGTGTGCGCGGCAGTTGCATCGCGATATGCTTGTCTATTGGCCGAAGCATATTCAATGCTTGCTGCTAAGCAATACAAATGCGCATTGTATTCGAAAAAAGTATTCAAAATTACCATGGGAAGCAGCATAATGAAGAGGTGTCTCTTTCTCATTAGTTTCACTATCAAGATTGGCTCCTTCGCGGATGAGAAGTTCGGCGACACTCTTGTGACCTGAACAATAACACCGATCGATGTGATAAAATCAGGTCAATCTTTTATTCAAAAACAATAAGTATTCAACGTTACCTTTCTTAGCAGCATAATGCAGAGCTGTCTCATTACAATTATTTCCAATATTAGGGTCTGCTCCTTTAGCGACGAGGTTTTTAGCTTTCCTCACTTTGCCTGAATATGAAAAATATTCATAGATCAATGAAACGGATTGAACAAAACATTCTTTTTTATAAAAAATGTCCAAAATTACCAGCAAAAGCAGCTCTATGTAGAGCTGTCTCTCCACTCATGTCTCTTACGTTTACTAAAATATGTGTGAAAAGTTTAGCATAAATGAGGTTCCCATATCTTCGTTACAAGGTGCTTTGTATATGGAATTTAAGAGTTAAACTGGATAAATAAATGAAACTTCAATCTTACCATTCCTCCCAGGTGGTGCTCCGCTCACATCCCCCATTAAGAACTGTGGAAATAGAATCAAAGTGATACATTTGGAATGGGAACAACGGATGAGATTAATCATCAACTGTTTTTAATAGAATAAAAGTTTCCGGTGGATATTTTTTTTGGAATAGAAGAATTTTTTCAATTGAAGAACTTGGAAAAAGGACACCTTTAATTTTTTAGATTATTTCAGAAAAAATTATCACAAATTGTCCACGAAAAGTATCAAACATGAAAAAATTTTAATTGTCGACTCACCTCGGATACCATCAAGCCAATGAGCAGCAGTGTGAAAGAACTTCGACTCGGCATTTTTCTAGCTTCGAACTATTAAAAGTTTACTATGAACGTATCAATTGGTAAGAACTGTTTGATGGACATGCGAATCGAACGCATCCTCTTATATACTTTTCAAGTGTGGCTACGTCGGTTGGCAACACACTGTATGATTCAATCCACGTACAATGACGATTCTAATAAAATGCCCACAAAATATTATCGCACACATTTTTCAAGATAACAATGTCAAACAATTGATGGAATTACAATTCCACCTGTGCACGTGTGTTTAATTTCGCGTTTCACATTTTCACGCACTGAAAATATCAGATGTTTACATTTATTCTTTCATCACCTTCTTTAAACTACAAATTCAGTGTAAAAATTTAAAAAAAAATATTTTCCACGCTTGAAGGGTTGAATGGTGTTACTATGGCACGTGGCTGTTCAAATTTAAAAATTTTCACATCTTCGCTTCATGCACAAGACACATTACATTTCAAAGTCGATCCAAAGTTGACCACAGATCAACCGTCGCTTACATGATGTAAATTAGAATGCAAATGATCAAACGACATGACTCATACCTTTGCGTTACATTCAGGCTCACATACCATGGTTGCGTTGCTTTGTTCAATAGCTACAGTGTTAGTTGATGCAAGGATATACGGTATCACATTTACTTTACATCACTCAATAAGGTATAGGTAGGATACGATGATATTGATACAAATCTACGCATTCCCTTAAAAGATCACAACCGAATCTCATGCAAAATCATATCCATACTCAGTAACACTTTCCTTAGAAATATAGACAGCTCCACAATTAGTTTGAAATTCCAATGAACACACACGGAAATAAGTACTTAAAATCTGGGATATATAAAACAGAAAAAGAATTCTGTCACTGTCGCATTTCGTACCAACACAGCCAACTTTTTGTTTCCATGAAATAAATTCTTCGTAGTGGTAAAAAATCTATGGCACAGATTCGAGAAAAATATCACTAATACTGAGAGAAAAAACTTGTTCCGTGTGTATCATAGGGCACTTGCAAAGATCGCAAAATGTATTTATTTTATCAAGTTTATCAAGCACTTTTCAAGAAGTTTTTACCTAGCATTGAATTTTCGTTTAAGCTTTACTATCTAAATTCGGTCAAACTAGTTATAATGCCATCGTTAGATGGCGTTTGTTCTGGTGGTGTGCGTTTTCCATATTATCGCTAAAATTTTATTTTATCTCATTAATAAAGAATATTAAAAAAAAATTGATTTTGAAATGAAAGCCAATTCGGTCTTCGTTCTAATCGTTAATTTATTTGAAATAAATGCAGACGGTTCAAGTCATCTGCGACTCTTCTTCAGGGCCTGAAAATAACAAATGTTTTGGGTTCAAGGATACTATGACGATGCAAGCGTAATAATGGGCTGTAGTATTCTACATTGGTGGTGACAGTGGGTAAATTAAAAAGTCCCGCATTTCTCAGAGAGTCCAAATCCAACAAAATATAATTCTAGTCGCATTTCACTGTTCTCGAATGTTCTCGCGAATGTTTATATAGAAATCATACGGCAGCTTTGCGAATATATGCACAAACACGAATGAGGGAATGAACGAATGAATGATATAGTCACGAGTTCGCTGTCATAGCCGCATTCGGTCGCATTTGCAAACATTCGAATTTTTGCTCTGAAATGCGAATGCATTCGCAGCATTCGCAAGAGATAAATTCCCCTAGCGGTATAATTTAAATATAATATCCCACGTACAATGACGAATGACGACTCCAATAAAAACAGAATGTTATCGCACACATTTTTTTCAAAGAAAAAATGTCAAACAATTGATGGAATTACAGTTCCACCTGTGCACGTGTGTATAATTTTGCATTTCATATCAAATGGATCGCATCGAAACCGAAATACCTTCTCGACTACTGCTTGAAAGCACAATGGTATAAAAATCTGCAAGAATTTACACCTCGTTCTTTAAGCCAATATCCTTCACCTTCGAAGAGGTGTAATTTTCAAATTATTTTCACTGTCAACATTGGCTCCTTTTTTTGATAAGAAATTCCGCAAAACTCCTGTTACCTGAAAAATAATTCAGATCGATGAAAAAGAGCAAATAAATCTATTGTTGAATGTTTGTGTTATTGGTTTTTAAACAAGCAACAAAAAGGTAACGGCTCTGATTTAATATGAACAGTGTGTTCAGATTTTAAATTGTTCAAACCATTGTATTGAGCTATGAGACCGTGTGTTTGCAAGTGTGTTTGACTGGATTCTTTTTTTGAACCACAATACATTTTTAACTGAAAATGGGACTTAATATCTTGACGATTCGCTTGAAATTTATCACAGAAATACGGATTTCCAGTTAAAAACGTACTATGATTCGAGAAGAGAATTCAGTCAAACATACGGTCTCATAGCTCAGCACATGTTTTAAAAAAAAACTGTTCGTATTCAATCAATTATTTAGTGAGAATAAGTATTCAACAATTACCATTGAAAGCAGCTAAATGAAGAGCTGTTAGACTATGATTATTTCCAATATTAACGTCGGCTCCTTCATGGTATTCTGGTCTTAATGTTTTTTAAACATTTTTATCACCAATGTGAGAGTTATCATATTTTATTAGGTAAAACGTGATTAGTTAAGGATTTTTTTTACCATTTCACCAACCTATTGTCATTTTAAGCATTTATTCATATAAATAGCACAATGTTTTGTTAGGTCTAGCAATAATTTGCTCATTAGATGTAGTGTAACAGTGTTATGTATGTAAGAAAGAAAAATCATATGTCAAGAGAAAAAAATTTCACGTGAACAAGAAGAATTACATTTCAATTCAAACTATTCGGGAGTTGAGACAGGCAAAGCGATTTTGCAATTTTATATTTACGTTCTAAAATCTGACGAAAAAATGATTTATTATTCAATAAGAATTTTTTATTACAACATGTTTTATCGTAAGAGTCATTTTTTTCATTCCGAATAGAATCAACACTTTTTTTTACGAAAATCTGTTTACTTTATTTATATTGTTTACGAGCTTTTGCTTAGTAATCCTGATATCAACTGATATTATCTAACTAAGGAGATATCAATTTTATGTATAATTGAATGGCAAATCTCATTAAAATGAGTTGCATGAGATAAGAATTGTATTTTCGAGTTACTTTATTCATCGTATCTGCAGCGTATTAGATGGTGGGCATATTTTGGGTCACAATGACGACAAAAGAGACACAAGAGGCATTTCAATGGACGAATGTCTGGAATCAATGGTTTGCAACAATTGCAGGTATGCAAACACTTGAACTGTTGAAAAATTTGAATAGAATTGATGCATGAATAATCATCAATTTAATTAAATCGAATCGATAATCTCGAATGTATGGCATAGATATTTTTTTAAAATAAAAACGATTTGAAGAATTGAAAATTTCCCAATTTATTGCAACAGCTAATCTAGTGATGCTTGGTCATGGGTGTATAATGGGTAAAAAATCTTGTGTTTGCTGCATTTAATGGCTTTCAATTTTCCATATTCAACATTTTCCTATCAATTTTCACAGGCTGGGTTTCACCTGCCATACCGAGACTAACGTCGGATCATACTCCACTTTCGTCTGGCCCGTTGAGCAATGAACAGGTGTCATGGATCGGATCAATAAATTGCATTGGGGCTTTGATAGGCGCGTTATCATTCGGATACATTACAAATCTCATGGGCTCAAAACGATCCATACTGTTCTTGACATTACCTTCAATTGTATTTTGGCTGCTCATTGAATTTGGAAATACATACTATCACATTCTCATTGCGAGATTTGTGGGTGGTTGGGCTGGAGGTGGAATGCAAACGTCTCTCATCTTGTATGTCTCTGAGATTGCTAACGATAAGTTCGTAAAAATTGATTCAATCATTTCTAGTGCAAAATCATGTAACAAAAGTAAAGATGAATTTTTTTTCTTTTAGCATCCGTGGCCGCCTTGGAGGTCTACTATTATTCTTGCGAAACATTGGTGTTTTGATTGCATACATTTTAGGAGCTGTCGTTGATTACGAATACATTCCGTACGTTTGTGTTGTGATTCCATTCGGATTTGTTATCATTTTTGCAACATTGCCAAATACGCCGCAATTTTATATTGCCAAAGGAGATATGAATGTGAGTCAGTTTAGATACGACATTGAATCGTTCAATTTTCAAACGTTTTCCATGAAAAAAAAAGAATTCTCTATGAAATTGTTTACCTGATTGAAAAAATGAAGGAACAATTTAATGGACCAATATTAAATTTTTGGCATATTTGATTGTTTATCAACGCAAAAATCCAGAAAGCAGAATATTCAGTGAAATGTTACAAAGGTTATCAAGGCGAAAGTCGCGCGGAAGACGATGCCTTATACAAAGAATACGAAAAGCTGAAAACGATGGCAAATGAAAGTAAAACAGAGGAAAAACTTCAACTATCTGACTTTTGTAATTGTTTAAACTTAAAGTTACAAATTTTATCCATTTATCCACTTTACCAAGTGTTCCAATTGCAGGTACGAAGTCAGCGATGAAAGGACTTGGTATCGGAATCGTGCTGACAATTCACAAATTACGGCCGCTTTCACTATTATCAGTTATGCAGTCACGGTGTTTGAAAAAGCTGGCACATCAATTAATCCATACGCATCATCGATAGTATTGGCAGTAGCACTTATCCTTGGCTCGTTGGCCACAACCTATTTAGCCGATCGACTTGGTCGCAAATTGTTGAATTTAATCTCACTGATGGGTTCGGCTATCGGCTTGTTTGCAACATCACTCTACCATTATCTCTATATGAATGGCATTGATCTGTCCGCCTTGGCTTGGATGCCAGTAATCAACATATCATTGGTTATCTTCATATCATCGGCTGGAATTATGCCGTTGACTTTCATTTGTTCGGTTGAGAATTTGCCGAAAAAGGTTTGCTCCATTTTTACAACTTTATTATCAAAACATATTTTATCAAAAGATAAATGCTCAGCGTTTGTTGTCTACATTGGTTTATTTACTTATCTAATCTTGATTCCCGTATTTTTTTTCTTCAGATTCGTACTTTTGGAATGGCAATAATTAGTTTCTCTATCAGTGTCGTTGCATTCGCATCAGTGAAATTTTTTCCAATCCTAGTGGAAGAGCTCAATCTGTACGGATGCCTAATGATCTATGGAATTGGTTCACTCGTTGGATTTGTATTTATTCTATTATTCTTAGACGATACCAGTGGCAAATCACTGGATAATGTGGGTGCAAAAGAAAAAACCGACATTGCATGTAATTATGTATAGAATCCTCTAAATTTCAATGGTCTGAATCTTTAATGCTTTTCCAGTGGAAGATGAAAAATATAAATATACTTACATTCGACTTAGGAACGAGACAGAAACTGCATTTATGTAAATATATAAATCTAATCAATAGTAGTGTATTGGAACTGCAGATATTTTTTTCTTTAATTCGGAACCGTTATTATGTGAAAATTGAATTTTGGTTGTTGTTGTTGTTGAACTTGGGACATTTTTTTCGGTAATCACTTGACTTTCATCTATATGAGTTGGACATTTTTAAATCTTAACCACGCCAGGCGATAGATTTGTTTGTTTTCGACTCATTTTCGTGTATCTCATTGCTTAAAATATTGACTAACATTTTGAATAACACATGAAAGGGTATCTTTTTTACCACAAAACGTAGTTTTGTTCCTTCTTAAAATCTAACAATGTCTTTTTTCAGCCGTAACAATTTCGTTTTATCTCTTATGAAATGAAGAATCGAAATCGACCAACAAAGGATGTATTACAATGGCTACAAGCCATCATTTTGGGTTGATTTGCTTCATTGTTTCATTCGCGTGGCGTGCGATGATAACCGGAATTGTTGTATCCATCGGATGGACGTCGCTCACGTGAATTGCGATTTTCGCGGGAGTGTCGGCGATGTCTAGGCTCTTCAAGAACATTTCCACCGGATAAACGTCGTTCATTCGAAGTGCGGCGATAAAGGTCACATCGACGCGATGTTTCTCCTCGCGAGTGATGACTGTTTCCACTGGAGTGTTGATAATACTTTAATTAAACACTAAACATTGCTTAGAAATCACCGTGATTTTTCATTTACCTGCCTGAGCTACCATTAACCAAAGATTGAGCCAAACCATGACCCTTTTGTGCGTTTGACCTGCGAATAAAAAATCGAGAACTTGTCAAATGTATTGACAACATTGGAATATCAATTCAATTACCGTGCATCAGTGAAGTATGGTGTTGAATCTTCTGTGCTTTGCCGCGGATTATTCCAATATGGTGTCGACGAAACTATTCGATCGGTGTCCGCACTTTGTCGTCGACGTCTGACAATAATCAAAAAGACACAATAATTAAAAAGAAAATTCCATTGAGAGAAATTCCGACTTACCCATTGTTTGTACCATCAGTTAGCTCCGAAGCTGTCATGTTCGTCAATACACTGTCACCATCCAAACTCATCAAGTATTGAAGACGCTCTTCTGACATGACTTTCAGCAATTCCTTACGCATTGAATCACAATCAGCAATATTTTTGGTCGCCTTATTGTCATACTGGTCACGAACACGAAGCTGACGCTCACAAAATTCGTCCATGCGTTCGCATTGGATGCGCTAACAAAGAACCGATACTTTTTAAAATTGTTATCGTTCGCATCACTTACACTGTAAACAAACTCACCATCTTCTCGTTTGTAATGGTTTGCAATCGCAACTGGAAATCGTGAGAACGAACCATGTCATAACCAGTTTTGTTTGATTCCATGAACAAAACACGAAGATTTGTCGGCATCTGAAACGATTTTCATTGTTGTATTAACGGGTCAATCAAATTCATTATTTCGGTGATGAATCAGCAACTCACATTTTCTGCGATCCGACATAATTTAACGGTTTTCTTGCAAATTTGGCAAAAGACTCGATTCGGTTGAGTTGGTGAACGCACTGAAATTTATACACAGGCATGTAGTTTATAGAATTTTCAAGAATTTGGTCAATACAATTGCTTCTACTTACTCTGTGTGGCACACTGATGACAAATCACATCCTCACATTCGAGCAGCAACATTTTTTGGTCACGATGAAATTCCGTTTCACACATTGAGCAGTGCAGCCAGGTTAATTTATCCAAAAATGACGATGCCGCCATCTTTCCAAAACCAAACAATCTTTTGAACTGCAACTTTTGACAAAAATGAGAAAATCTCGTGAAAACCTTTCGAAATCCCCTAAAAATGATCTTTTGGGAATGTTGATTGAATAAATCTTGAAATTACGATCTGAATTCTCTTGGTAAAAACTTTTTCAGCACTGATTTATACGTCGGATGTGATTGAATGCACACGATCGACTGTGCATCGAAGTTACCCTTACTTACTTCACTGTGTGAGAGTGTCGAAGTGTTGACGCGCACATAATCAATCCTTTCGAATACACTCAAATGCGTATGATGCGTGCAGTTTCATGCGAAAGACATGCAGCGTTCTACGCGTGCATCAATGCTTTTCTGTGTCTATGTGATCAAAATGTTCGAATGAAACATCATGTTTTCGCAAAAGTTAATATGTTTTTTATTGACAATTTTCGTTGTTTCACATGTCAAAATTTAAATTATGATTGATGATATTCAAATTCTGATTTGAATTAAACGCTAAGGTTTGGGCACAATCATGCATTTTATGCATTTAATCGCCATAACGAATTTGCTCTTGCAATCTATGTACGATTGTAAAATGTGCTGGAGGTAATCTGTGATTGTGCCTCGAGTGTTTGTGCGTGAACAAGTGATCCGCGCGATGGTCGTTTTGCTCGCGGTGCATTCGATGATGATGCCGTTTGAACCGATTGAGCGTCAAAGTTGAGTGTCGATGCCGATGCTCGAATATGGGGACCAGCAACCGAACGAGCGAGCTTCGGCTCTGCTTCTGGACTTGGTTTTTCGCTTTCGCCTTCACTTTCGCGCTTAATCGAATTTGTGGTGCTGGCCTGGAAGTGAAAATCGAAATGATGATGATTTGAATGCATTTCAACGAATGATTTGTTATTCAAAATGAAGAAATGAAATGATGATTGATCACTTGACTCAAAAAATGATGATTTATCGCTTATTTTCACGAAAAGATTTGAAATCAAAGATTGAAAATGCACGTTGAATGCAGAGAAAGAGCTCAATTGTTCCTTACCGTTGATTCACTTCGCAATGACAGCAACGAATTCGATAGGTCCGCATTCGGCGGAAGATGTTGGCCGGCAACTAAACGAACGCCTAACGGCTTACAGAAATGATCTGCCAACAAGAATGACAAACGATGAACACGGCTCAGTGCGCAATGACGTGTTGCATCCTTCTCCTCGTGATACTATGCAAAGAACGAAATTAAAGCACTTGATTCCATTTTCAAAACACATTTTTTTCTTCAAAGAAATGCATAAAATTCCTTAGGAATTTTCGTTACATCGTCAATGCTTCGAATCTTCGAAAAAAACTTCCATTGAAATATGACACTTACCTCGCAACTGATTCCGCCGGTCGTTTCGTATGGATCGCGCGATAGGAACACATTGGTGAAGCCTTCGTTCGGGATGTCATCAAATTTGCCCCGAGTTGCCAATTCCTTGCGCAACACGTAGAACAAGCGCGTCAACGGATACACATCGATGTTCGGAGCATTCGGTTCAGCGAACTGATTGAGGAAATCCTTCAGAACTTCAATCTGATTACCTTCGCTGGCGTGCGGATCGTTGTACGTGAAAATGATCGGATTTCCTCCGTCAAAAACCGGTACACCATCGGCACGCATGAACTTATTTATGTTGTAAAAAACGCGTTGAAAATTTTTTTCGCCAAAGGCTTTGGTGTGAAGCGATGGCGGTGGCAAGCGATGTGTATCTTCCGAATGAGCCTTTGCCGTGTATGCATAACCAAGTTCGGTTTTTTCTGCAAGAAAAATTTCCGAAATATGTCACGAAATGATGGAAAATGCAAACAATGTCAAGAAATGCCTAAGAACACATGCAAAAAAGGCAATTCATGAAGCACTCACCTGGCTGAATGAATTCGTGGTGTCTTTTCAAGATGCCATCACGAAAGGTGAATTTAACCAAGCCGATTTCGGCTGGACAATGAATGCCCTCGTTGTTCTTGTAAAAGTAATTGCCATACATCAAGTAAATCGGATAATCGAGAAAATCTACACAAAAACAAACACAAAAACAAAAACAATCGTCATTTTATGCCATAAAAGCAACATCCATTCGAAATCATTTCATTTTATTCAATCAATGATACCGTTTTTGTTTGGTTACCTACCTGACAAGAGCGGAAGCTGCTGGACCATATTGCCGATGCGTTTACGCATATTTTCCTGATCTTCCTTCTCTTTGCGCTTCTCCTCATCGTAGAGGGAAACTAGGACACCTTGTGTTGTGTACAACTGAGATGATTTGGTGCTGCTGTTGCATGAAGAACGTGGCCGTGCCACTTTCACCGCACCACCTTTGGCTTTTTCTTTGTAGTAAACCTTGTCATCTTCGGACATCGCCTGTGGTGATGAAAAATGAGAAGAAAAAACAATAATTTCAGTTCAAGCTGTGTCTAGACTTGATATTTGGTTGATTGCCATCGAAATATATTTGGTTTTTTCAAGAGAAAAAAACAGAGAAAAAGTCAGACTTACATTCCATGATGCCGACGCCAATTGCGAAACCTCGGCCTGTGAATGAAAGAAAAACGAATGTTAGTTTAATGTTGAACGTGTCATGGCGGCGCCGATGAAAAGTGTGCATCCTATAGACACGCTAAGTGACGAAATTTTTTGATTTTCCTTTGCAATTAAATGTTTGCAAAATGTGTCCAAATTTTTCCAAGCCCTTTTTCAAATGTCAATGATGAGAACTTCCCAAAAAAATAGAAGAAAATCACTTACCAGGCTTAAATTGCGGCCACGTTTTTGCTCTTCATCTCGTTTGAAATCGAGCATGTACAAATAGTATGGTCCTGCTTTCGGCATGTTTTCAGTTGTTTGCTGGTGAATGTCGCGTCAAATACTGTGTTGAGTCGGTGCACACAATGGCTTGAGCAACGCTTCGTCGTTGTTTTTTCAATCAAACTACACTGTCGTCTCTCTCACACCAATCGTGTGTTTTGCAAACTATGTTGGTTTTTCGTGTTGTTGCAAGCAAGTGTCGTGCGGTGTGTGTGGTCTAACAAACGGTATCGGTGTGTTTTTTTTTTCGTGTCCGTCTGGCTGGAGCTAAATTGAGCGAATATCCACACCAAACACTGTATTCTGTACACAATGTAATGAAATCCAATTTCAAACGGAGCTTAGAAGACGTGCAAATTTCTGAACTCAAAAGAAAATTATTTGGAAAAAAATTCTCGGACTTTCTGGCGTCGAATGTAAACGAGAAACTGTTTATGCGAAAATGTGTCGATCTAATCAGATTTTGCACTGTGATGCGATTCAAAACGAAAGACTTGAACGTTCAAAACATGCACCAGAGGTCGCTGTGACCGCTGAAGATGACTTATTCATATTTTTGGTTGCATTCTGTGCTACTACTACACTGGGCCACTTGTCAAAGCGAAATGTGTCAAAATAATTGTGCATTCGTCAACATCAAATTCCATCGAACCCAAAACATATTGCATGTTTCACACCTTTAATTAGTTCATTTGTGCAAGAAACTCATTAGAATCATGGCTTCGTCGGAGGAAAAACTAGTGAATCAAAGGGGTAATCTCATTAGTCAGCAGTTGGAAGATAAGGAAATTCAAGAAATATTAAAAAGTGGCACCGACCTACGCCAGTATTCACAACAAATCGAAAAAGATCTGAAGACCGTCGAAAATCAATCGATAGAAGAGTACATAAAAGAAAGCCAAAACATCGCCTGTTTACACAATCAAATCGGTGACTGCGATTCGATTTTGGAGCGAATGGAATCGATGCTCACTAATTTTCAGGTAAGTTTTATATATCTAAAAATGAAGCTCATAGAAGTGTAGCCACAGTAGGAACAATTTTTTGGATACATGTTGTCCATTGAATAATTATAGTATAATTCACATGATTCCATTGAATTTCAGAGTATTTTGAGCAACATCAGTTCGGAGATAACGACTTTACAGAAGAAATCCGTTTCGATGTCAGTGCAATTAACCAATCGACAGAGTGTTCGAGCTCAATTGTCGCAATTCATTGAAGATATGGCCATTCCTGAAGAAATGATCAAGTGAGTCACCAGTTCAGCTAGAATTTCTACAAAAAAAAACGTAACAAATATAACATGTTCATTTTACTCCTATTTCTTTCATCTCTTTTGCACAGCGTCATAATGCAAACTTCAGTCACAGAAAAAGATTTCAATACGCAGCTGAGCAACCTCAACCACAAGCTGAATCTCGTCAAAGAGCTACAGTTCAAAGAAGCAAAATCATCGGAGGATGTTAAAGACGTGCTGGAAAAGCTAAAAATTAAGGCGATGTCGAAAATCCGGCAATATTTGCTTGAGCAAATCTATAAATTCCGCAAACCGATGACCAACTATCAAATCCCACAGAATGCAATGCTGAAGAATAAATTCTTTTTCGAGTTTGTTTTGTGCAATGAACGTCAAGTGGGCCAGGAGATTTGCAACGAATATGTTGACACAATGAGCAAGATTTACTACAGTTATTTTAAGGTATTTTCTTTTTCCATTTTATATTTTATTGAACAAATTGATTTCAAGTTGAAATGTTCAACCAAAAATTGTCAATTTTCAAGTTTGTCATAATAGTCTTCTATGAATTATATCCATTTAAGAGGTTTTATACTTTCGAATCAATATTAACAACGCTTTCCAATATTTCAGAGTTACTCATCACGTTTATCGACGCTAAAATTCGAAGATCCAGTTACAAAAGACAATTTGATGGGTAACGAAGACACAACCACCAAGCAGAGCCTATTTTCAAAGTCAACTTCGCTACGAAACAAAGGCACCACGTTCACAATTGGTAATCGAGGTGAAATTTTGAGTCAGCAACTCGAAGCACCTATTCTTGTGCCACATGCACAACAGAAAAATCAATATGCATACGAGGCATTATTCAGATCAGAGCAGTATGCCCTTGTGGACAACGCCTGTCGGGAATATCTGTTTGGAACCGAGTTTTTCATGGTGCGCGGAAGCCAAGCACAAGATTTGTTCAATCAAATCATGGGAAAGACATTGACTCTGTTGATTGTAAGCATTTGTTGTCATTCAAGTCTCGTTTTTGATTCATACAAAATTCCAATTTTATTCACTTTACCTCGCAGAAGAACGTCGAAACTTATATTCAAGACTGCTACGATAGCATTGCAATGTTCTTGTGTATTCAGCTAATTTTGCGGTTTCAAATTTTATGCCACAAACGATGCGTTCCGGCTTTGGACAAGTCTGTGTTCGAGATAATTCATGATTCAAGACATAAAAAGCTAATTTAGCGAACTAATTTAACATTTGAATTTATTCAGGTATTGGGACTCATTGCAAGCTGTTATTTGGCCTCGATTTGAGCTCATCTTTCGCATGAACATTCAAAGTGTCCGTGAATGTGATCCGAATAAATTCAACAAAAGCCTGGCACCGCATTATGTACGTTTGATTTCTTTTTCTCTTTACTTGTGTCCAAAAATTTCTATTTTTTTCGAGAAACGATTTCGTAAAGAACTCTCAAGTATCTTTACCTAGACATTTTGAACATAATTGAATCATTTTTTCTTAAATTTCAGATCACTCGTCGTTACGCTGAATTTTCGGCAGCTGTTGTTGGCCTATCTGAGCAATTTCCAAATGAATTAGTCAGTCGCTTGTTGCTTGACCTCCAGAATGAAGTTGAATGTTTCATAATGAAAATGGCTGGAAATTTTTCGTCGCGAAAAGAGCAATTGATTTTCTTGATCAACAACTACGATATGATTTTGAATGTGCTGCTAGAACATACGCGTGACAATTCAAAAGAGGCCGAAACATTCCGTCAGCACCTATCAACTCGAAGCACTGAATATGTGGAAGAGATCTTGTCTCCTCATTTCGGTGGAATTATGACGTTTGTCAAGGATATGGAGCATCAAATTGAGAAAAATCCGTCCGGAAATGTTACGTATAATGAACACCATGCGTTGCAATTAGTCACGAAATTCTCATCCAATTGGAAGAAGGCGATTGAAGAAATCAATCGCGAAATAACAGTATCATTCCAATCTTATGTCACTGGGTCAACATTACTGCAGCTTGCGTTAGCCAGTTTAGTGCAATATTATAATCGTTTTCATAAGCTTCTCAATCCTAATGAACGCATGCAATTGACCAATATCCATCTCATCACTGTGGAAATTAAGAAAATTAATAAATTATCCGGATTCACGAATTAACCTATTTTGAATATTTTGAAGCATTCACATAAATTCTTTAGTTGTTGAGTTATAGTCGGCTTTTATTTAAATTATAATGTAAATTTACATCCGTGATTGATATAAACAATTAAAACAAAGAATATTTTCAAACGGTTTGTACAAATTATATGACGATTCTATTTAAAAAAACAGAAAATTATTTATTCTTCTTTTTCTTTTTGTCCACATCGATTCCCAGCGATCTTTGGTAGTCCAAAATTAATTGCTCTTGAACGTCTGGTGTGCATGGAGCATATCGTGCGTATTCCATACTGAATTCACCTTTGCCTTGGGTTTGTGAACTGAAATGAGGGAGAAAATCGAATTATTAAAATTTTTGCAGAAAATTTTTGTTTTTCATTCCGATTGACGAAATGTTGCTTTCGCTCTCAATTTGATTTTTTTCGGATTGAAAAAAAAAAATCGTAGAAATTTTGCGTGTTTCCATGAAGCATTTAAACTAAATTTGAACCTACCGCAATTCCGTTGCATAGCCAAACATTCTGTTCAACGGAACTTCAGCGCAGATGGTGAACCATCCTTCTGTTTGTTCCCGGCCTGTCATGATTCCGTTACGCTTTGAAATGGCACTAAGGACTTGGCCTTGGAACTCCATTGGTGCAACGATTTCGACCGACATAATTGGTTCTAAAACGCGCCACTTGCCAAATTCGAAAACATCACGCACAGCGCCCTGGGCGGCAAGGAAGAAAGCATATTCACTGGAGTCAACCATGTGATGCGCACCATCAATCAGTTGAAACTCTATGCCAGCAATTTTATTTCCGGTGAGCAAACCTTTTTCGCACATTTCCAAAAAACCTCGTTTCACACCGGGCACGAATTGTTTTGGTACATTTGTACCCACGGTTTTGTCGCTAAATTTGATTTGAGTGTTTTCATTTGGTGGCAATGTTTCGATTGTTCCAATAACACGAGCAAACTGTCCTTGACCACCACTTTGTTTCTTATGCAAGTAATTGAATTCACAGGGTTCCATGAGTGTTTCTCGAAAGGCGACTTTTGGTTTTCCCAATGTCACTGCGCAATTGTATTCACGTTCCATTCGCTGTGCATAAATTTCCAGATGCAATTCACCCATACCTGGAAATCGATTTTTTTTAAAAATAAAAATCGAATTTATTGAAAAATGAAAGATTTTTGTTTTCTTTTTTCACTGAATTTACGATATTTTGCTCTTTTTACTGAACTCACCTGAAACTATTGACTCCTTACTATCTGTATCGAAGAAATATTGGAATGTAGGGTCTTCCCGAGTAAAACGGTCAATAGCTTTTGCAAAACGTTCACGATCTTTTTGTTCTTTAGGTGTGATTGACATGGAAACAACGGGTTCGGGCACATACATCGATTCCAACGATAGATTCATCAACTTTTGGTCCACGACGAATGTGTCACCACTGGCGCAATCTACACCGAACAGGGCGAAAATATCACCGGCCTACAATGAGGAAAAACATTTAAAAAAAACTTCAAATTATAGTTCCATTTTCTATTTTACTTTGAATTACCCGTTTAAAAAAATACTCACATGAACTTCTTCAACATCTTCCATTTGGTTGGAGTGCAATCTCACCAATCGTGATACTCTAACTTTCCGATTGCTGCGTGTATTATAAATGCTGTCCTTTTTCTTCAAAGTGCCTTGATAGCAGCGCATGTATGTCAATTGTCCATACCGGCCGGCTTCCAATTTGAATGCCAATCCAACGAATGGTTTTGATCCATCTCTAGCTGAATCCAATACAATCTTTTCCGTTTCACTGCCTTCTTTTTCAACGAGTGCAACGTTGGTAACTTCTCCTGGATGTGGTAAGTATTCAACGACAGCATCAAGCAGCGGCTGAACACCTTTGTTCTTGAGTGCTGTACCAACCATGACCGGAGTGAATGTTCGTTTCAAGCATGTTCTTCGAATGGCGGCTTTGACATCATTCACAGTGATTTCTTTTTCCTCCAAAAACATATCACCCAGAATCTCATCCACATTGGTCAAATGTTCGATGAGTTCGCTGCGTTTTTGTGTGCACTCTTCCTTCATGTCGGCCGGAATTTCATCGGCTCGGATATCCAATCCGCATTCACCTTCGAAATACAATGCTTTCTGTTCGATCAAATCAATGATTCCCTTGCAATCGTTCTCCAAACCGATTGGCAGCTGAATGAAGGCGGCGTTGTGGTTCAGTTTCGATCTCAATTGGTGCAATACACGGTATGGATCAGCACTCAAACGATCCAACTTGTTGATGAAAGCAATACACGGAACGTCGTATCGTTTCATTTGACGATTCACTGTCAATGTTTGCGATTGAACGCCACCAACGGCACACAATACTAAAATGGCACCATCGAGTACACGCAACGCTCGTTCAACTTCAACGGTGAAATCAACGTGACCCGGTGTATCAATGATATTAATGTTAATGTCCTTCCAATCCGTGTAAGTAGCCGCCGATTGAATTGTAATACCACGTTGACGTTCCAATTCCATTGAATCCATCGTGGCACCCACATTATCTTTGCCGCGAACTTCGTGCATTTGTGCAATTCGACCGGTATAGAACAAGATTCGTTCGGTCAAAGTTGTTTTACCGCTGTCAATGTGCGCCGAAATACCGATATTCCGGATTTTCTCCAACCGCTTGAATTCGCTAAAACTCGATGAATATCCCTACAAAAATAGAAATTCATTCAGAATTAGTGGGCACATTTCATAAAGTCGGAAGCAAATTGCATAAGCCCAAAACATCACCATGTGATCACATAACCACACAAAAAAGTCAAAACCGAACTTACTCGGACCAGGGTGTTTAACACGCCGAACGATGACTTCAAGCCGCTTGGGCGCAAAAATCTGATTAATGTCATGATTGGTGGGCTCAAAAATATTTCCGCTCACTTGTAACAGTTGAATTGAAATATTTTCCAAAAGTGCACAAAGGCTCTCATTCGGATGTTCAACACACACTGCAAGTGAACTCAATTTAGACAGTTGTCAAAAGTCGTATTCAATTGACAGTCGAATGGAAAAGTGGCTGCATACTTGAATTCAAGTTGGAGTGTATGTGAAACTGAAACACAAACATATCGCACGACGAGTCGCAAAAACATCGTAGATTGGTTTGAATTGTGCAAGGGAATGGACATTTGTTTGGAGTTTTAGGTAAATATTTTTTTGTGAATTTTTATCGAAATTCAATTCCGATTCCACCGTTTTTGTACAGAATATCATCAACACACTTTCTAATCGTGGATTAAGTGAATCTCATTACAACGTTGATGTTTTTTCTCGCAGATGAACACACACTTTTTTTGTTTGCATAGAAACACACAGTCGAGAAATTTGAAAGAGAAAAGAATTTCGTGAGCCGTGAGCGCTCTCGACTTGAATTTTCTAAAACATATGTGTCAGCGAGCGACGTATGATTCTGATATACATGCACGCAGACGAGTGTATGTTGATGGGTGTGTGTATGCATGTGTGTATGAATGTATCATCCAGTGAAGCTGAAAAATTTGTGTTTGTCATATTTATTAAAATAAATATCTCGGAAGGTAACATAATTTCTTCTCTGTTGACTTTTTTTTTGCGTTTGAAACCATTTTTCCGTCATTTAATTGCAATTTATTTTGTTGATCAACTCAATTTAATTAGTCACATAACCATTGACGAAGACGTCGAGTGAAAAAAAATATATCTATAATTATTGCGATAGATTGAAGTATTTTCATCTCGTTTTGTGAGATCATGCCAGTGTAAAATGGGTTTTCAATATTGAGTTGAGATGAGAATGAGAGAAAAAAACCGAGAGAATTGCGTTTAAAGTGCGTCGCTCCTTCGTAATTGTTTAATTGATTGAAAGCCACTGGCTGAATTGAGTCGAATGAAGCGATAAATCAGCGTGCAGAAAGTCTAATTACATTGTTGTGTGGATTTTTTTGTTCGTCTGTACGTTTCTAGGTTGAAGTGATTAAAACGCCTTATTTGTGGATTATCTGTGTTGTTAAAACAGTTTGTTTAATTTGTGCATGAATTTATCCGATTCAGCACCTGTAATTCTGGTCGAAGAAATTGCCTGTTCACCAAAAATTATTATATTCATTTCAATGCTGATTTTCTGTTTTGCTGTTTCATCGTTTCACAATCGCTGCGCCGTGTATCGATTTCACTGGCTCTTGCTCTTTCGCACACACCACCTATTTATACTTTGTACTATCTATGCATTTGTATGGACTCCTATGTGACATCTTTTTTTTCCGTTCTGTACCGCTGGCGGAAAAGTCAAGTGCAAACGACGATTCACATGGTTTCAGTGTTTCGGAAAATCGCGCGTTCAGCCGCAGTGTGCATGCTGTTCGCAATTTGTTCAAACGGTACTCTCTGATACTAGCGTATCTTGACACAAACAATCGATTGTCTTCAGTAACTTTCTATTTTATTTTTCGCACTGCACAACGGTACCATGGCTATCTGTGTTGTGTTGTGAGTCGGCTTAACCGTTTGAACCATCTCAATTTCTTATCTTGCTTCGGAGTCTCAACACATTCTTTTTTCATATTTATACATGTTTCTAAGCAGAATTTCGTTTTGTCTTTTTCAGGGGGAGGTGCAGACACACTCAAACACGCGAATTCCATCACACATACAAAACAGAAACGAACGACAAAAGCAATATACACTTTATTTTCTTTCATCATATCGTATGCATTACAATCAAACGTGAATAACTGAGAAGACTGATTTTTTTTCGAATTGAAGCACGGAAGTTAGTTGTGACAGCTAACAGTGATCTAGTGCAATTTTAGACAGTGGTACAAGCTACTGCTACTTTTTCTTTGTGAATATACAAAAACAAGTCGGAGAAGATGTCGCAAGTCAGCCGATCATTGAAAAATTTGGAGGCACCGCGACCATTGAAATCAAACAATGCCAACCGACAAACACACCACACAACGCCTGCATACGAATTGCAAACGAGTATGTATTCATTGACAATCACCATCTTTTGTTCGGCAATGCTTTTGAACAAACTTTTTTTTGTGTTCATTTGGACAAATTTGGATTTTTGAATGACATTTTTTTTCATTGATTGCAGTCGAGGAACTAATAACATTAGTGGAAAATGTTGCCGATTCAGTGTCCATCGGTCAATGCAATCCGGACAGCATGGCATTGTTGTTATCGAATTTACGCATCCTTGGCCCACAATTGGAAGAATATTCGAAATCCACATTGGACCAAGGTAATTGATTCAAGCACTTTTTACGTGTTTCTTTTGTTCTTTGTTGACTTTTTCACCTTTTCTTTCATTTTTCATCAGTTTCTCCATTTTTTTTTCTTGATCACTTGATCATTTGTTCATCAGTTGTTCTTCTCTGTTCATTTTTTCATCACTTCTTTCCCAAGTTCATGGCCTTTCTCTTCTTTAATTCCACTTCTGCTAAGCTGAATGTTAATATTTGACAAAAAAAAACTCAATCAAACTGTTTGGTTTTACTTTCAGCATACGTGAAATTTCGGAATGCATCACAGGATGAGCGTTTGAGTATAATAACGCGAATGAATTTGTTGGAATTGATTGAATTGCGTGCTAAAAATTGGCATGTGTCAGACGGTCTCAACACATACTATAAACACAAAGTGTCCGATGTTCAGGTAATTGTTGATCCAAATGAGGAGTATTTATGACTCTGATTATTCCAATTCTTCCATTCGAAAAGCATGAGTTAGTGTTATTGACTGCTCCATTTTAAATTGAAAAAATTGCAACATTTGCATTTCCAGCCTGAGAACATAATGGTGGCACCAGTGTTGCAAGACATTTCCTTGTTAGACACCTCCCCCTCGTCTGTGTTGACACACAACATCTTGAATCCGGGCGAAGTGATCCGAACATCTGGAAAATTCGTCAAACCGACGAAGATCCCTGGCAAAAATTACACCAAGGACGAAGGTAAATAGTTTTTATCGGCCATTACAAATGAATTGAAGGCAAATTTCGTGCATGAACGATGTTATTTGAACAAATTTCCAGTCATTAAAACAAAATTAATGTTTTTTCCTTCTTGTCATTCACAGTGGTCATCCGCAATGCTGACTCTGGAAAGGGTGAGTTCGAAAATGTGTGTGTGTATGATTATTGTTTGGTTCATCAATGATGAACTGCATCATCCACCAAGTGAAGTGATTTTGTGTAAATTGTTCCAATGAAAAACATTGACAAATAAGAAATAATAGCATTTTAAGTGGTGTAGAAATTTTGGCAAGATATTCAGCGATCGAGAAACATAGCGAATTTGTGATTGTTCTTTAAATATATTGAAAAATCCATGTTTTTCTCATTTTTTTTGTTGTTGTTTTGTCGTCTTTGTCATCATCGCAATAGTGATGGGCATAAAAGGTAGACGCGTCCACATGATCGAAGAATTAAGTGAAACGATTATTTCTTTTCAAAGAGGTAAAAATCCGAAAAGAATCCTAAACAAACACATGAAATTAACCTTGATTTTCTTTTAATTGCCGTCTTAAAATGAAACCTCCTTATTTTTTTTCTTTTTGAATGCGCCTGCTATCGAAACTAAACGAATAATTTTCCAATTTTTATTTACTGCTTGTTTTTTTTTATACTGAAAATCTGTTGCGTCTAAAAAATCATTTGTGTTTAGTCTTTAGTACTCGCTGCTAGAGAGTGCGTAATGCCAACCCTTGATTTTTAGCACTTGTTATTAAAACACATTCATCATTTGTCATTCAGTATCATTCGGTCATTTGTGTATCGGTACATATTACTTGCCGCATCGCTACAGTCTCTGTGTTCAGTTGCGCTGTGCTGTGATGATTCGATTGCATTTGTATTAGTTCGGTCGCATCTTAAACACAATTCACCACACACTCATCTATTGACATTCAGTTAACATCCATCATTGCAACCACCGCAAAGTGAAAACAACAGCAAATCCAATAGTTTAAATATCATTGTTAGAGTTTTTTGTGTGTGTATAATTTTTGTACCGAAACAAATAATGTTCAACTTATTAAATGGTAATATGACTGTCTACAGAAGTGCTATTGAGATTCCAACTTTTGAAGATTTTGGTATGATTCATCTAGTTTTTTGTGTGTTTTCGTTTATAATTTCGGTTGTTGCTGTGTCATTTTCATTGTGTGTGTTTTTTTTTTGTCGTGCATGAATACTTCATTTGCCTTGCTAATTCGCCCTAACCTCAAACAATACAAGATGACAAACAAACGACTAATCCATATGCTTCTCAAATTGTACAGTTAACCCTGGTGCCAAAGAACGATTGGTTCAAATCACCGGACCCAATGAAGAGAAAATCATGTGAGTGGAGTCGTTTTTATTTTGAAAAATTCAATATTTCGATTTTTTTTCACAATTTTGTTTTTATTTTAATATTTTGAGACATTTTTCATAGTGTTTCGATTCTTTTTTCCTGCTCACTCATTTGACCAATTTGTGTTTTATTCATTTTTCAGCTACGCAAAACATTTGATCGAAGATACAATTCGCCGTAATGCTTCGCCCGTTCGCTTGGATGAAACGGCTTCAGGCGTTGTTGGTGCTGGTTCATGCAGTTCACTGACTTCGTCCAACTCCGATGAAACACAGATACGCGTCAATCGCAGCTCAGTTGCCGGCATGCCATCGGCAAGTGGTTACACACATGTGGCTGGCAATCAAAAGGTTCGTGGTGCAGCTGGCAACGTTCTACTGCACAGTCTGTCGACAAATGATGCATCGGTTGGCGAGTATAAATTCACGGTGAACGTTGGCCATCACAGCATCAAAATTACCGGCGATTCCCTCGATCTGGTCCGAGTGAGTATTTTCAAAGGGATATTTTCACTTTTCAGACATTTTTTCCTACTTCGTTCTTCAATTCATATTCGTCTTCTTTCTCGCTTTGCGAGAAAAAAAAACTGCTAAAACTTCATTAATGCCCCATTTTATTCGTAGATTTCAAAGCTTGTTCTGGATGAATACTTCACAAGCACCGAATTTATATCGGGTGTTGAGGCCGGTGCTGAATTTGGTCTAATGAATTCATCGTCAACTGCTTCGGTAACAACGCCAACTACAGTAATTCCTCTGTCGCATCAACTAAATTCGACATCCCCGTTCGGTGACAGCGGTGTTGACTTGAATCAGTACAGCAATTATCATGCAAGTATTGACAACGAAGATGAGGTATTCATCGTAGAAAAGAACGGTATGTGGTTTTGGCACTTTTCAGATTTTGGTCAAGTTGATACCAATCATTTTGAGAATTGAAAAGATTTTGTTTAATTAAAGAAATTATTTTTTTTCGTATTCATTACCAACATTTTTTTTTGTTTCGACAGATTTAATTGTATATGTATTTAACCAGTTATCGACAAAAATACTTAGCCCAAAAAAATGTCCCAACCTCACTTATACACACTCTCTTACTTATTTCCTTCTTCATCTTCTTGTTTCACACGCAGATGTAACTCAGAACAATACAGATGCAACGAAGCCCATCCCAACCAATGGATTGACACGATCGCGTCGTAGTCACTTTTCGCTGGCCGACACCAAAATGGATTCGTTGAAGGAGATTGTGCCGAAGAGGAAATCGGACGTACACGTTTCATACGATAATGATCGTTTGAAATTAATGGCCACGTTCCATCATTCGCATCAATTTCCCCATGACTGGTTGAAAATCTGCGAACTCTATCCAAACATCGTACGCAATAAGGTACGTGACACTGATGACAAGAACAACAACGATTTCAATCAGAACAACGTTACCAATAACAAATTCCATGCTAAGTCTAACCACTCGATGCGACGCAGCGTCTCAGTAACCCAATAGACTTGCTGTCACTGAGATATTGCAAAAAAACAACAACAACAACAACATTAAAAAAGGAACTCGAAGTGTTTAAATCACATTCCAAACAAACAACGACTTCCAAAGAACGAAGTATCGTTACATGAATCAAAAAACGAATCATGCATTTTTTTTTATATGAAAGACTAACGATTTGAACAGAAAAAAAACCAGAAAAATCAACATATTCTAATACACGAAATCGAATTTGATAAACAAAATGCAATTGATAAATGAAATGACATGATGTTTTCTAAATTTTCACTTCATCAAAAGAAAGAGAAAAAATCAAATGAAATTAAGAAAAAAAAATCATATTTCTCGCGTGAACAAAGAAAAAACAAACACATTGTGACATCTCACAGTCACAGTAGACCGTTTTGTTATAGCCTCTCACTTTCATGCATTCAACCCAAATAAGTATTTTACTCAAAGTCAATGTAATTCGAGTTGAGTATTCCGTCGATAAAAAAACGAACGTTCTTTACTCCCGAATTTCCTTAAAAACTGTGATAAAGTTTAAAAAAAGAAAAAAACAAATTTTCCGGATAGATATTTTGGCCTTGAAACTAATCGAAATTGTAGAAAAAAAATTAATTTCAAAATTTGTTGGCAAAAATAAAAATCAGGTTTCGAGACATTTCGAGACAAAAAAAAGCAATGCGATTATTTAAACCAGAAATTATTTAAAAAATCAAAGAGCAACAAAAATTGATATTTTTCGAATCATAATTATTATAATCTGAGTATTTAATGACCAAAACGTTTTTTCCCTAATTTATTGTTTTCATTTTTTGTTGATTTAAACGTGGGCAAAAGAAATATTGAAGCTACAATCGAAGCAGGCAGCTACTTTTCGCCCCATTATTATTCAATTATCCTCCTTATTTATTTTGCTAAACACTCGAAAATGGGAAAAAAGCAACAAGAAAAAATTACAAAGTCTAACCAAAAAAAAAATTATTTATTTAGTTTTTATTTTCGCTATATTTCTACGAGTCTACACATCACTAACATTAATAACATTGTATTTAACAACAAAAAAAGAATGAAAAGAAATAAAATCATCATCTGAACGATTTGCGAAATCAAAACCAACTAACGCTTTGTGTTTTACCGATTTATTGGCTGTGTTCACCACTGTCTCTGTCATGCATTTTAACACAAAATAATTAACTCGCTTTTTTTGGGTAAGTACGACGTGAATTCCTGTGAATGCTGCTCTTTATCCTTTAACATCTATCGCTGTTTGCTGTCCATTGAGCTCTTCAAATCCATACGTCTATGTTATAAGAGCTGGCAAATGTTTTTATTTTCAGACCGCCGAAGACGAAGATAAATTCTTCAACCCAGATACGTACGAGCGCACATATGATTTGACAACGACAATAAAACAAAATTCACCGTTGCTAGACGACAAACACTCCGAACCTCTATCCGATAGTGATTGATTCTCTTTTTGGCATTTACATCTTTGGTTGTCAAAATCATTAGAAATAATTTTAGTTGAGACACAACACCGTCAAGTGACTTTATCAACTATTTTTTTTTGTAACTATCATAAGATTGTATTGGACAAATCATGTAATCTGGGTATTGTACATTTCGTTTTGTAAAAAAAAAATAATAGAATCTCTCAAAATTTCAAATTCTAGTCTAATTCTATTCTCTATATTTATAAACATTTAATGCAGTAGATTTATTTATTTTTGTACGAAAACATCAAAAGCATGAGCACACCAAATCAGCCTCTATTTCAAATTTCGATTAGGAAAGTGAATGAAATACTTGAAAAAATTGTTCACATCGTTTTTTGGATATTAAATCATTACTTGTCTATTAACAAATTGGGAAATAAACTGTGGAAAATCATGTTTGGACTTCACTTTTTTTCTATTTTTATTTACAAAAAATTCGAATTACGTCAATAGTGGATTCCTTCGAGGCTTAGGTGAGTTCAAGAATAAATGTCAATGAACTGGACTTGATAAAGGAATCATATGGAATTTAAAATACTAAAGTTTTTCGAACAAAATTGAATTAAAATGCAATAAATTGCTGCATCTTGAACATTTTCGACTTAGGCCCAAGTAATGAACTTAGCGATGAGTTTTTGTTGACAAAAAATATAATAAACGCATAGAAAAAATAACCTTTTAAAACAAAAATAAAAGGAAATGCTCATATTTTCTTATATTTTTTCTGTACATAGTGTCTTTTTACAATCAAATTTTTGTTTATAAGTAAATATGAATGTCGTTAGGCCGAAAGAACTTTAAATTAACTGTTCAAATATCATCGACCGTCTCCATTTTGATGCCAGTCCATTGAAGCTATATGCTTGTTTACTTTATGCTCATTTGTTTTTTTTTTCTTTATACAACGGTAGCGAAGGTGCGAGCATAATTTCCTTCAAATGGAAGGCTTTGAATTCGCGATACCAAAAATGGTTGTGGTTCAGTTTGAGGAAGTGCTAAAACTGTGATATCATTCAATGGCACTTTGGCAACTGTATGAAGGGCTGCATCGTTTGAGCCGCGGATAAGTGGTGGAACGAAATGAGCTACTGTCTCTTGAACGGGCGTTACAACTGGTGTGTCAACAGGTGTTACTAATTTGGTTGCATCTTCGAACGGCACTGCCTTTGATTCAATTGCAATATCATCTAAAACTTTCTCTGATGTCAAAAACGATCCGGAATTTGGTCTCGTGTATCTGATTTCGAATGATTGACGATTGGACATGATCGTATGAACTCCATCGGAAATTCGGTATCGAATGTAATTGTCGTCGTCTGTGAAGTGATGTGGTACGCCTGGTGGTCGAGTAGAGACTGGCAAACGAAACTCAGGCGTGACTGGTTCATCGATTGGTGCAACTGTTGTTGGAACTTCTACAGGAGCCGATGGAACTAACGGTGCGTTTGTTGACAGTGGAACTTCCTCTGATAATGAAGCCGTTTCTATCAATGGTGCTGCTGTTGTAGACAAAACAACGCTTTCTGTGGTCGTTGGAACAGTTTCTGTGATTGTTGGTGTAGAGGTTGCAACTGCTACAGATGGTTGAATGTTCCAGTTGTTCGACAAAAAGCTAGGAACAGGTCGGAAAATTGGTAGTGTAAAACCTTGGGACGGTGTCAAGGCGGAAAACCAATTGGCTGGATTGGTGAGGACCAATTGAGGTGAAGGCCGACTTTCAACTGCTGCACGAGAAAATGCACCATATGTTGACACGGTCAAGCGTTCGCTTGGCCAGAAACTCGAATACAAACTGCTTGGATCAGAAAGAATTAGCTGAGGGCGTTGCTCAACTGCCGAACGGGAAAATGCACCAATTTTTGCAACAGGATATGTTGGTGCTAAATCCGCATACCAATTCGATGGATCTGATAGAATAGTTCGGTATAACGCTGCATTTGGCACATTTTTTGGCACCATGAGAGATTGCGTCGACAATCCCAATAGCGTCGATAACAATAACTGAAATTAGGCAAATTTTCAACATTAACCAATTTTGTTCAAAACTATCTTTAATCAAGTTGTTAGAAAACCAATTTTAAAATGAAACACTCAACGAAAATCTGTTGATTTTTTCAACAAAAAAAATTACCAAATGCAACTGCATGTTGATCCGTTCAGCTCCAAATTTCGACTATAATTGATTGTTCGAACGTGTGCATTGCACAGTTATTTATGGGCTCACAATGTGAGCTAAGCCTCACATTATCGCAGTTTGGTGCAATAAACTCGTTTGCTCGAAGCCACAATGATAGTGCGTTACCTGCGATGGTTACATGTTATGCAGAACCTGTTCATAAGCTAACCACTATTTTCCATCGACGTGTGCATTAGCCACAAAATGCATTTTATTCAAGTGCACTGTTTTCACTTCCTAGTCGACGTTAACGTCAATGAGCGCAAATAGAGGCTATTTTTGGATATACGTGGTATGATTAATTTTTGTGGTGAATCCATGTGGAATTCATTCACAATTTGAATGATGGTTATAATTTGTTGAATGAACCAATGTTCCAAGCAAATCATTACTGTTCACATTATGAAGGGAATTTTCGAGGGCGTTTTCACGAATTTTGATTCAATTTGGTTTAAATGAATGAATATGCATTCAACGGTATAAACTCATGATTAATTGAAAAAATTGAACATCAAATCAAATTGAATGAAAACGAATACGTATTTGTTCTAAACATAGAATTATGTGCATGAAAAGCGTTTTGTATTCGAAACGGTGCATGGGAAGCCTTTTAGATGGCTGATTTGTGTATGCCATATCAAAAAAATCCCACTCATAGGAAACAGAAAATTGAAGTACCTGCAAATTAAATTACTGTAAACAATATCGTTATGCGAGTGAAACGAAACCGAAAGGAAATGAGAAGCATTGTCTCGGTACAAAGTTGTTCATCAAGAATTGATTCCATTTTTCAGGAGTTGGTGAGGAAGAGAGAGAGAGAGAGAGAGAGGGAGAGAACATCGGAAGCAATTAAAATTTCGGTACACGTGTTCCATATATTACATGTTGAGACAACATCAAAAGGTGAAATGGAACTTTATGTATTCAGCGAGCCAAAAATTAGCATCAATGCCAATATTTCATAACCATTTACTCCTCTGTGGGTTGGTGTGCTGTTGTTTTTGTCTTTGAAACCAATTAACAGCGTGTTTTAATTTCTATATGATATTGTTTATTTTCGATTCGCTCGAACGGAAAACAAATTGAAAGTACAGTAAAACCTGTCAATAACGGAACCTGGGAATAGTGGAAATCGTGTCAATAGTGGAAAAAAAATTTGGCCGTTGAGCTCTCCCATACAAATTTACCTGTTAATAACGGAAAACCGAAACTCCGAATAGTGGAAAAAAATTTCTTCACGAAATTTTTTTTTCGTCTTTTATTCATCTCTTTTTCATATAAAACTAAATTTTTTCCTTTATCAAAACCACTGATCATCATAAAAATTGTGCAGTACAATTTACATTACCTTCATTTCAGTATTATTTTTCATTTTTGTCTGCCAAAATCATTGCTTATTTATTCAAGCAAACCAATTTTTGAAGCTCCCAGTAAAAACATATTCACTTGATCAGTGCATTTACATTAAGTTTGGTAATCATTGTTTTGTTTCATGAAATGCAGAATTCATTGCTGCCAAATTGATAGTGTAAAAAATGAGTATCATTTACCTTCTCATTTTGAGTCATTGTTCAGACTGCTTGATAATTTTAGAAAGTGATGTTTGTCATTCACTCAGTGAATTTCGCTGTTTTTTCACTTTCGTTTTTCCTTCATTCATTTAGTAAAAAAATACTTTTATTTCATTATTTCCTCTTCACGTTCATTATATCACTTGATTTGATAATAATTGAATACCCATAAAAATGTATGTTTTGTTTCTTTTTACCCTCAATAATGGAAAATTTTGTTTGAATCGACTCAAAAACCTCTGAATAACGGATCCTGTGAATACTGGAATTCTTGCCAATAGTGGAAAAAAACATTTCCCACGGGATTCCGTTATTGACAGGTTTTACTGTACAATTTACTATGGGGCTGAAGACAGAGTGGCTGCCGGCTTCGTTTCATATGCTTGTACCATTTGGCTTAGTCATTCTCGAAAAATTCTTTTTTTCGCATTGGAGAACAGGAGGAAAAAAACAACGCTACCGTCATATCTGATTATAATAGAACTCAATCTTTTCTTTCATCCTTAATAAATTTTCTTATGCTACATTTTTTTTCTCGCGCGAAATTTCTGAGGTAGCGATTTCAAGCATATCGCTGTTGTTGTTTTTTTTATTTTCAGTGACGGTAATTTCTTGGAAAAACTCAAAACGTGCGATGTTATCTTTTCGGCTGACTACAATTGTAAATGTGTCACAAATCATATAGCATATGGTGTGACACAACAAGATGATGCGGTGTAAATCTATCTTTCATCGCATCATACACCATTTTTCACACACTCACCGTCATAATATACACAATCGCACATATTGGCCGCCCAACAAATTTCCCCAACATATAATTTAATTACGCTTTTGTAATACACTCTTTCGTTCGATTCGAGTAGTCGGAGACCGTACCAAATGAAAAAAAAAATGTATACATCGTCGACTTACGGCTGTTGCTGACGTCAATACGTTTTTTCGGCTGTATCAAGCTGTGTGTAGTAAATAATGTTAATGAAATTATTTAAAAATCATAGTCAACAGAGAGTCGGATGCTGTGTACCACTTTCTCTCCAATTTTCCTTCGCTCGCACAGGGCGGATAATTCATCGACAGCCAACTCGATTCATATTTTGCAGCTTTTGTTTCGCTTCGCAACACCGAATTTCCATGACTACAAATTCGCTGTCAATCCATTTTTACCGAAAAGTAATGATGACTGAAACGTAATCAAATTCATATGACCTTTTCTGTCAAAAGGAAACCGATTCTCCGAAAGCCATTCCGCCGTTATCAATGGGCCCGAATGAACATTGTGATGGAAATCAATATACTTTTTTTTGCATTGATATAAATAGAACTCTTTGAAATTCATCTCGATTCTACGATCTGAAGTTCGTTCATCCGTTTGTTATTTGTGCAAAGACGAGCTCAACCCCAAAGCCATACACTCTAGAGCGAACATTTTCCCTCGATTCTTTGACGTCATCAATGTCGGTGCGTTGATATGTATCGATCGGAGGAGTGCGAGTTTAAATACAATGACATCAATTATTGGGTTAATTTAATGAAATTAGCTAAAATAACGCTCTTAATGAGGCCCTTTTATCTATTTTAAATGAATTCTCTTGAAATTTCAGCTGAAACTTATTTCCTATTGCAGCATAGGACCTATACTAAACAGAATGGTTTAGTCAAAACCTCTTCCTCACATTGAACCACTAGAAAGAGACGAGAAAAAGAGACCAGAGCGAATCAAAAGAGATGAGCAAGAGCGCGTGCAATTCGTCTGCCCGACAATTCGATAACAGTGTTTGTTTTGATTTCAAAACCCGTTCGCCGCTTGAATAATCAAAACATTTAGACAATACGACAGTGATGAATTTGCGCAACAACGCACACATTTTTTCTCCTTTCATTTCGTCTTTCATCTTCAATTTATTTGGGAAAAATCGAATTAGTAAAATTTGATTGTTTGTCGTGAAACAGCTGAGATCGTCGTAGCCAACGTGGCGTATCGTACACACACGCATACCAGCACACCGCACATAAACTGTTCAACGACGTCATCGTCTCATTGTCGTTTCATATCGTGAGTATGTGTGTATGTGTAATGTGTATGCCCGTCGTGTGTCGTGCTACCGTTTATTCATCAGTTGGTCGTTCGTTGAATTTTGTATGCACGCGCTTTCAATCACTGACCAACCACATCAACATCAATCAATACATGTGCCAAAACGGAGAAAAAAATAGTTTTCAAAGGAAAGAAAGCTAAAAATGCTCGACCGAAAAACAATTGCGCAATATTTATGTTGTTGGTATGTCGGTTGTGTGTACTTGTATAAATGCCATCGAACATAAATTTTCGAACGCATTTCGAATATTCGTCCGCATTTTTGGCTAAGTAAACAAACGTAACCGTTTGAATATGTTGAAATTCTCACGAGACCCACCGAACAATCCTATGTAACCGAAGCTCAAATGAAATGCTTCCGATGAATTTTCTGAATAATTCGTCATCGTCGTTCGCCAAGCAACCACTTTATTTTTCATTCATGAATAACACCTTAAGCAGCAAAAGTTTGGCAATGCGCACTTTAAAGCTCTCCTTCTGTTACAAAAGAATGTGCAAAAAATAGAATCTTTTCTCTCGCTGGAATGAATTTTCTTGTTGAAGAATGCTGTGTTTTCATGCCACAAGACATTTCACATAGTTTAGAGCACTAACGTAGGCTAACGATATATTTGGCAAACATCAAACCGAAATATTTTCATATTACATATAAACTCTGGTGGAAACAGTTTGTTGTTTACGGAATATATTTTATTCAAGCCGGTTTTATTGACTCGCTTTTGAATGTCGATTGAATGTTCAAGACGGAAGGGCGAAATAGTTTATTTATGGGTATTTTGGTCGTGGTTAAAGCAATTTCACAAAATAAATTATTGATTTGAAATTTTTTTTGGAATTTTCTAAAATTAGACATTGGAGTATGGGCCGTTTTCATTAATCGATATTGAACACTGAATTTGGTTTGGAAAATTGTTATGGATAATGATGGTGCGATGGGTATGTTTGGAAAATGCCCTCACTACCTTTAAGCAGCCGAAGTGTATTTGATATTGCGATGGATTTAATTGACATAGGTAAACACGCTTATTCATTTTGAATCTATTGAAATTCGTTTTTTATAATGGGAAATTGGAAGATTTTCAATGAAAGATGGCGAAAATAGGTAGCGATTATTTGTTTTTATAGGCTTGAAAACACATCTGTTGAGCCGCATTTAACTCGCAGTCACTCGCTGAGTATATCTTTTTGACGTAAAAAACAATCAAATCCATGGTATTAATATTTGAAGTGATTAATCGAAACTGCGGTAAGAGCGAGAGAGAGAGAGAGAGAGAGAGAGAGGGAGAGAGAGAGGGAGAGAGAGAGAGAGGGAACGAGAAATTGAATTCATTGAGGAAAAGAGACGGAGACAAAGGAAAAGCGATAAAAATGGATGGAAAATAGTAAAAAACATCCCAGCTGTTGTTTATCCTGTGGTTTCAATGGGTGATTTTCCATAATTAATTTTTGCTGTTGTGACAGAACTTAATAGAACAATAAACTTAGCTGATTCATAAACAAATTGAAGCCCGACTAAACATTTGCTCGACACGCGAAATGCATATCGTGTGGCTTTTTCCACTTCTCTCCCCGCACTAATCATGGAAATGAGAGAATTTGCTTTCGAAAATGACGTCGCAATTTCAGTTGTCGAAAATTAGTCCAACAAATGGATATATTGTTAAAAAAATTCCGTCATTTGTTTTTACGCGGGCGAATCAAACCGAAATCATATTACAGAATGAACGCGTGCGCGCGTGTGTGTTCGTAATACAAACATTGGTGAAGGATTAATTTACTCCATCACTCGAAATATCACTCATCGAAAAAGATTAGTCGAATCATCACATCGAATTTATCGTCTCATTTACGCGCAAATTGGTAAACACACGTTTCGAAATCGCAATAATTCGACGCGGGCTTTTTCTTTTCCTTCATTCAAAATGTATACGTCATACATTGGACTAAAATTTTTTTTTTGCAATCATTTGTAAATAGTTTGTTTTGTACATTTTTGGCTATCCCTCGACAATAAATTTCAGAGAAATATTTTTACTGCGATATTTTTTTTCTATGAAATTTGGTTTGAGCATCGCATGAATGAATTTATCAAATTTATACTGTCAATATATAAGGGGCAGAGAATAGAATTTAGCCAAATCCATGGGCATAAATACCGATAAGTTTTCCATGTTAAATGATGGTAATTTTCATCCATTTAAAGACAAGAACAAGATTCGGGCTCAATAACACAACTGAGAAAAAAAACCGACGCAGAGTCAGCACTTTTATCAAATGTAAAGCTATAAACAGCTGAAAATTTCCAAACAACCAACCTCTGACACATTTCTCAGAAAGACCGTGGGAAGCTGAAGTAAATTGTAACGATTTTATGTGGGTTTCAACTCAACCCAAATGTTACCCATGTTCCATTGAGTGCAACCACTTTTCCGATGCTCGTATACTGCTGTATATGGGGACTATTTATTTGACTTCTTCCGCTTCGAAAATGGCAACGGCATTCGGCGAACCATTTCTGACATTTACGGTTGTTCCAAGTTGTATTTACCAAGGCACTGGCTTTACATGTAATTCCCGATATATTATTTTCAAGAGAACTTGAAACACCGAAAATCTAATCAAGTTAAAGCTTATTTTATTAAGTTGAAAATTCATGCTCTCTTGAATGCTAAGTACCCAGAATAAATACGCTTATGCGTCATTCGGATGCTTCCGTATTCAAAACCTCATGATAACGAGCAAAAAATTTCCAGAGTCAACACCAAACATCAACATTCTCGCCCATAATACAGTTGACTATTACAGTTAATTGGAAAAAAGTTTTGAACATCGCAAAAAAGACACGAAACACGCTTTCAAATGAAAACATTTTCACTTAGAGAACTTGCGCCGTGGATGGAAATTCGAGTTTGATTAATCATTTTCGTTAGCTTAAGCTAGAAAAAAAGTATTTCATTTCAAGATGCTCCAATTTCTCGGCCATTTGTTGAGGAGGAAACCAAGCAGAAATTCCATGAATCACCTACGGAATTGCTGCAGTCTGTTTAACCTTCTTCAAAACTCGCAATACGTTTTTGAAGTCAACGATATTTTTTTTGCTCTCTCTGTCTCTCTTCTTGCTGATAAAATTGCAGAAACCGCGTCGCAGCCAAAATACTTTCGTGATTTGCATATTGATTAGCTACAGTCTCTTTACCCAGACTCTTTTATTATCGTCAAACTTATTAGGAATTGTTTGCGATTGCAATTTATTCCGACTACCAGACATTTAAATATGAAATCTCGACGTTTCGTTACCAAATTGCTAGTTGACAAGCTTGTGTGGCCAAGTAAAAAGTTTTAACCAAAGCAAAGCTGAATAGATACGAGGTAGGTCGCGGTTGCAAAATATTCAGTGCAAATGAAAAGTTTTTTGTTCGCCTGTGATATCAACGAAAACTAGGACAAATTGAAATGGCAAACATTCACCTATCACAACTAAATGCATGAGCGTTACAAATCCATTTGTAGTTGGGTTCGTGTGTATACAATGCCACACAGGCACAGAATGGATGAATGTGAGATGGATGGAATGCGAGAATTTATGTGGATCTGCTCCTAAATTCAGTTGAATTATCAACAGTAAGTGGCATGTAATTCAGAGCACAAACAAATGTGGCAGTATCGATTGTGTAACCTTTCCCATGAAAAGTTCATTGTGAATGAATATTGCATGCGATGTAACGAGTAGCGTTCAACGATGACGTCATTGATGCCGTATCACTCGGTTCAGGTTCATATCGTCCTTTTTCTCTGTGTCGCTCTATATCTCCCTCTTTCTGTCTTTCCCTCTCTCTATCTCTTCATCTCTCTTCCTGCCTCTGTCTCACACTCTTGTTACCCTCATTCACTCTTGTTCGCTCGCATTGCAAACCCAAAAATAGACAATGCGATGAGCGAACCATCAATGCCTGGTACGAAAAAAGAAAACTACACACACTGATGTCAGCGTCGATGGTAATCGATACATCTAGCGTAAGATTATAGCTTTCCTTTTTACAGTTTCCACTCAAACACACATCGTGTCTGCCAATGACGATGCCACATGGTATTAACAGAAAATGGAAAAAGCAGAGCAGTCATTGCACCTCAAAGGGAAACAAATTCGAACAACACACTGATTGAAAATAAATGTTTTAACGCGAGAGTGTATATCGCATAAAAAATGCATCGAACAGCGCGTCGGGAATCGTAACGGATACATCTTTTTTCGTTGCCATGATGAAAATTGTCGTTTACATTCGATGTCGAGGGAGTCATTTTCACAAACAATGTCGTTGATAACATCATTTCTGTAGCATCCTTTTACATGCAGAACATTTGAAGAGAAAACTCCTTTTTTCATTCGCTTTTTTCTGCTCTTCCTTTTAGTTCTCTTTTCTTTCCTTTTCCTTCTTCTTCGTCTCTTTCTTATTTTTAATCTTCTTCACTTTCTTTGTAGAATCTCTTCATCCATTTGTCCCTTTTTTTATGTTCGTTTTTCGTATTTCGACTTACATGATGCTTAAAACATTCTCACATCTTTTGTCAAAAAGGCGAAAATGTGTCGTACAACGATATAATGCGAAAAATTCGGAGCAAATGGAAGATGCAGCAAGCGCTCAATTTGGATTCAATTTCTAGTTGATGAGCTAAAATCAGTGTATAAAAGCTGTGAATGTAACATCTAGCTGAAATTTCTCATGAAATTCTAAAAAAAAAAATAACGATAATGTAATTCTCAGTATTCAAATGAGATCGGATCAATTTATTTTCGGGGTTTTTGTGTCACTTCAAATAAATGAGCGCCAATAAATCAAATTAAGTTGATTTTCACACTGAATGATAAATGCGATAGTTCTTTTTTCTTCTCGCTGTTACTTTCTGTTGTTCCTGGTGTGACGATGCCATGATCTGATTTGCGTTTCGCATAAAAAGCATTTTGAGTAGTTGCAAAAATGGGAAATGGTTTTAGTGTATAATTAGTAGAGTGGTGCATTTGGAAATGTAAGCCTTGACCGGAACGAGGGTGTTTCGTATGAGGATGACATTCATTCGTTGCACCACAATGCAATCAGTGCATAGCTGTCCTGCTTCACGAATTACATGTTGTCGTATTTTTTTTCTCGCCACGAATCACAGTGTGTCCTTTTGCATTGTCAATCTGTTGTCTGTGTATTTTTCTTCTTCGTTCTGATTTGCATGGCTTTGTGTATAGGAAAAAAAAGCCGAAATGATTGATTCTACGACTTTGACTCGCATTGACACGAACAAAAATACTGATTCCTCGACGGTAGCGTGTGACTGGCTCGATGTGTGTGGGTTGTTTTTCATATTTATAGAAGTGTATCATAAAGCGCGCGCCAAAGAGTGAGAGAGACTCGGACTACTAGAAAACGGCACGGCGCAATAGGTTTGAAAAGTACCGCGACCATCGATAACACGAAAATATCGCGCTCACACAACTCACGCTCGCTCGCCTCGCTCACTGCCATGAATATCTATCTAAACGGACAAAATAAAAGAGATGGAAAAGCGAGCCGAACGGCCGCACGTTGTCGGCTTCATTCGGTTTCACAACGTCTCCGGCTGTATCACATCTGAATCGCAGCACAGTACGGTGAGCTCCGTTGTGTGTTTGTGTGCGCGCATGGAGAAAATTTTATAAATATAAGAAGCGAGGAAAAGCCGAAAGTCTGATCCATTTGCTGTTCAGCTATTGTGTGAAATGCTTGTGTTTATCCAATTTGGAGCGTAGACCAGAGATACGTGAAACGAAATCTTGCTGTAACGAGTTTTTATATTGTGAGCGAAAGAAGTGTATGTGATTTTGTTGAACGATCAACAACGATTGAATCATCCAAGGAAATTAGTATCAAACACATCGTTACGGAGTTCAGACGGCTTTACTTTGCCAACAAGCTAAAACATTTTTCTTCGGAGAAATAAATAAATCAAATTTGATAACAAACTTCCGGGAAATTGATTGAATTTGAAGAGCCTGAAAATACAATAGCCCAAAGTGAATCGAGATCAACGCAATTCTTCCGTAAAAAATATAAATTGCTTTTTTTCTCGCAAAATTCGCAAAACAAAACCGTTAGATAGATGATAAAATCAGAGCTACAGTTTAAAAATAGACTAGCAGAGACACTTTTGTTCTATCGTTTGTGGCAAATTTTCCATTTCTTGCGATGATTGAAGTGGACAGTGTAACGCATACAATTTAAAGCAGTCAACGATTCAAAAAATTTCAATATTTTCGGGCAAATAAATCAAATCAAAAGTCTTTAAAATGTAAACTAATCGCTTTGAACATTTAAAAAAAAAATTAAAACAAAACGTAACAACAACAACAGTTTGAGGAAAAAAACAGAAACAAAAAGGAAACTGACAGAGCTTGGTAAATGTGAAACGCAATTTTTGAATAATTCACACGAGTCACAACGAACGAATGAGAATAAACGGGTCTTTAACCGCAGGTGGAAATCGAGGTAAAGATTGACGACAAACCAAAAATTAACAACAGAATTTAACGCAAAAACACTGAATAAACACATCATAATTTTTGTTTACAAAATCGATCACGAATAGTCGATCAGGCCCATTGTTATTGTTGCGCGTGGTTGAAATTCAAGATTAAGAAAGAAAAAAATAACACAGTGTGTTGTGTATAAATTGAAATTTGAAAAGAGACGTAAACAAAAATTCAGTTGATATCCCTGATTGAGCTATTTTTAGCATCACAATTATTATATTCTGTTGAACAAAACAATTTAAGCTCAGCAAAAGACAGATAGTTGATTAACTGTAAAGCAGCACGAAAACAACAAACATCTTTTTTTTTAAAGCAGTGAAAACTAAATATCTTAAAGAAAAGAGAGAAATTTTTTCAGTTGAAAAACGAATTATCTCCATTCATCACTCAGCTCGTCAACTGAACTTTGAGCCAACAAACGCACACGTGTTCAACAGACGACACATTGATTGAAAATAAATTTGAGTGAGACTGCACAGTTGATTGCACAGTTGTTGTTATTTTTTTTTGCCGTACGCATCGCGCCCATAATCAGTTTACAGAAGACAACGCCAAGGGATATTGACAGAGGAAAATTGAAGCATTTTCCGAACAAGAAGACAGATTCGAGCGAATGAAACGAACCAATTGAAACGATCAACTTAATTAAATTCAGTCGATAGAGACAGAGAGAGAAATCGTTCAACCTGAATTCCATGTACTACATCTTGAGACGAATACCCTTTTTAGGTAAGTTGCAAAATTGCAAGCACATAATAGTATCACTTTAACCAATTCCAATCAACTGAAATAAATGGCAAATTGCCGAGTCGTCTAACCGATGCTTAAGCGGTTCGAAAATGAATTTTCTGTGTCCCTTCCGTTTTTAATTAAATTGATTTCGAAACTCTTCGGAAATGAAATTAAATGCGTTCGTTGCAAGCGCGCTCGCGCATCGCTGCATCCATAAAAAAAAACAGTGGGTTCAGTACATGTGTGTTATTCTCGTCGAAAGTTAAAATAATGCATTTTTTATCGGCAAACTAAATTAGTCTACGCGAGAAATAGTGCTGTTTGAAGCGAAGAGGTCGATTTTCCCATAAAATTCACTGCCGGAGAGTGAGTGAGTAGGAGATAAATGTTGGCTGTAGAGTACATTGCACAGAAAAGGTATAATAAAACGATGAAAATCGAATAAAAACACAAATTGGCATCAGAACTGACTAAACAAACCGTCCCGACAACGGAAAAACCAGCAAACCAAAACGACGACCATGCATGCGAGAGTACATTATTTCTTGAGGTTTTTCCAACAGCAACAGCAGAAGCAGTAGCGCAGCCTTTTATGAATTTGTTTGCCCTTCTTTATGCGGCGCAACCGTGCGAATCGTAAAATTATGTGTACGTGTATGTTCGCTGATAATGATGACGGCAAAAATGAGGACTTTTTCGTTGAATTGCCTGATTTTATTGGTGCACTTCAACAGCACTTAATGTCAATGCTTGGCTTTGTTCGTGAGCATCCTTTATTTAATAACAAATTGCCGCCGCCACCACCACCACCACCGTCGACAACGAAGACGTCGACCATTTTATTCTTACTCAAAGTGAACAATTATAGCCCATACTTCCATACACTCTCACAGTTTTGCCAATTGATAACATAATATGATGCCGTGCTTTTGATGCAAAGACTAAAGATAACTGCAGCGCGTCGCAATCACGTCTTCTATCGTTAAATCACTTTTGCCAGAAGATATACATGCTCCTTTTCTATTTTTCAATTAATTTCTATCGTTCCATTATTTTTTTCGGCTAGAACTTCAATTACAACTTCGAAGCGATTTCGAGCTCAAAGTCATTTTAGCATAATATATAAATTGAAGCACATCCCCAACAATGAACAAGTAACTTGTAAGCTACTTTCAACTACTGTCATAAAACAAAGCCCAAAGCAATATTTTATGAAGAGCGTATCGCTCTCTCTCTCTCGCGCCAAACCCAAATGCGCTGTGCACTAAATTACAAACACTAGCTACGGCAAACAACAAACGAATGAAAAGTTAAGAGATAAAGCGTTTTAAACGAATAGAACTGGAGTAACGGAATATATATAACCTACGAAACCTCATTCGAACGAAATAAAGTTCAAGTGTTTCATAAATTGTCTCGCTCTCTTGCGTTTTTCTCTATTTCTCCTCATCTATTGCTTACTTTTGGATCTTCTCATGCGAGTTCGACATATAGAAGTGAGTTCGTTGAGCCAACCATGTTTAGCCGGAATACGTGTGACTTATCCTGCTGCGTAGTTACATGAACCGTAATAGTGTTTGTGTGCTTGTCATTCACTATCTTAAATATTCAAATCGCTGATATCAGCATCGCAATGAGCGTGTGTGGTGTACTTCTTGCCATTACGAAGTAAAAGACTTCGTCATTTTTGTCTTTGCCACAGTGAGTATGAGTCAGTGTGAGAGGTGAAGGATCCGAACTGCACGTTCAAATTGCAGAATGACGCAAATGGTGAATTATCATTTTAATTTTAAATTTCCATGATACGGTTCTCGGTTCTCGGTCTTGCCAGTCTCCATGCAAGAATACACATAAATATATAGCAAGCAATAGCACAAGCAACCACATTAACAACAACACCAACACCGCCACCCCAGCTCGGTATTAACAAGTTGACAATTGGCACAACTTACCGTCGGATATTTGTGCGCGCTTCCATTTCATTCGTAACCAAATGGGCGTGAATAAATTTGGCTTGCAAATTAAATCACAGCCAATTTCCCCAAAATGCAAATCCCAAATAAAAGAAAAACCCGAAGCTCATTCGCACCAATACAAACAAATCGCATCGCTTCATCCGAAATTAATTGGGTTTGCGTGCGTTCATCCACCGAATTAATCACCGTGAGGTTTTTCAATTCGCTTTTAATTAGATTCCGACATTCTTAAGCATATGATTTTGCAGAAGCTCCATTGTTCAGTGTCTGTCTTTTTAGTGCACCAATCTCTTATGGATTTAAACGATTCTTTTTGTTCGTGTTGCCACCATTTTTTTGTCTTCGCTTGGAAAAAGTCTTCGGTTGGATTATATGGAATTTTCGTTGGTGAAACTATCACAATGACGCTTGTTCTGCGTTGATATCTATTGCAAATGACAACTTCATTTATTATTGATAACTCAATCAGTTTCCGTTTTTCAATGGTTCGTGGACAATAGCTGCATTGGCACAGCTATTGCTGCAATCGACATGATCGAAAAGACGTTGCTGCGAAACTGCACTTCAGCACAGAACGTCGCAACTGGAGAGATAAACGAGAATATTTGATCAAAAACATGTGAAAAAATCTTACGTTTTCCATGAACTTGTCAAAACCATTGTTAGTCAATGGGATGGGTTCAATGCGAATAAAAGCGCCAATGCATCAAGGTGAAGAGAAACCCGACTAACATGCTAAGAGGATCAATAAATATGTTCAAACCGAATAAAATTACCCTTTGCCTCTGTGTAGTGATCTTGGTGTTCAGTTCAATGTCAAGTTTCAATGAAAATGACCGACTACTTTCAATTACCCATGGCAATCAATGCGCCTCTTGGCCATCAATCACATCGTTCGACTCAATTAGTTCCGATAATGCCAGTCAATAAATCTTGTTGTTGGTTTTTCATTTTGTTTTGTTTCTATATTTTCTTCTCTACACACTTCGTGTCCGTATTCAATCGTATGTACCGTATGTTTACACGCTTTGGAAATGTTGTAATTACATCAAGTGCAGAAGAAACATATAAAATAATTTGTAATTACGTTGTGTGTAAATCAGTTTGATGGTTTCCGTCAGCCGACGTGTATGTATGTTGATTAGAAAAATGGTTAAAGACTTGACTAATTGGCCGCCATTTGACGTGTTAATGATAAACACGATGAGACTAAGCAGATGTGCTGTAGCGCCCATATAAAAAAAGTACTCGCTAAATCATTGCTTTCGATACTTTAATTCAATTCAAGCCAAGGTATTGGCGTCACATTATCAGTAGTTGCATTGCACTCTTGAACTAGTCTCATTATTACATCTCAAATAATTGTAATGGTTGCGCAAACGCAAATCCATTCAATAAACGAAAAAAAAAAAACTAATGAAACCGAAAAGTTGTTGGCTTGTTTGGACGGAGGAGGGGGCGGTTCATTATTTGTAATTATTATGATTAATGTTAAAAAATCAATAGAATGGAAAAACTTTTCACTCTCTCAACCTCTCTTCGATACCAAAATAAATACGATTATTTTTGTTGATGAGATGACGACATGCTTATTTTCTTCATCAATTGATATTCCCATAAAGGATATATCTTTCAGTTTTGGCCAACTGAAATTACACTTTTGATACTTAAACACAGACAGAGAAGAAATAAGCATTTTCTTTGTTGGCGAACAATTGGTGGGTATATAAGCCCACTTGATCGAACCGATTGGAATACTGTGTAACCGATTAATTTTTCCAATGCAATTACTTTCGGTGGCAAACATTCACACAGAAATCCACTGGACGAGGGAAAAAATAAACCATCTTTGGTGTTTGGTCAAAACAATCTTGATAATTTAGTAGGTGCGGGTGTATTTTTGGCCGTATTTTTGCCAACGAAATGTAGAGAGAAAAAAAGTTGACAACAGCAAAAATCATGGTGCAGACAAAATATTTATTCTGTATCTATAGCCTGAATATAATGATGCAGTTCACCAACATTGCGTGTTTATTTACATTGGTATCATTAACTGATGAATGGTGTGTTTATTTCATTATGTTTCACTTTCTTCTGCATCGTCGCCATTGAATGCCTACACTTTTCGACAATTCATGCCACTCGCAATTTCTCTCTCTCTCTCTCTCTCTCTCTCTCTCTCTCTCTCTCTCACACACTCCCGAGCGGCTCCTTTTATTTATTAATCCCAATTCAATTTGCAATGATATGGATAGAAATTGCATTAAAGCAAAATCAACAAAAATACCGAAATCATCACAATCAACACTTGAAACATTCAATTTGTGTGATGATGTTAGCTTTGCGTCGAAATGACTTTTGCTTTTTGGGTGGTTTCAATCAAGTCGCTTTCTTCACCAGTGACGTTTTTGAGCTTCTCCTTCTTTTTTCTCTCTATTCTTCTTCTTGATCTTCAATTTCATTGTACCCTCCACCAAGTTGCTGGTTCATCATTCAAAGGAGAGAAATGTGACAATGATTTCGTAATGAAAAGGGCCACAAATTGTGGTTCCAAAAATAAAATTTAATCAAAGGTTGAGAGGGCATGGGCTGAAAGTGATCAATAAGAGATAGAAATTAAATTTGTTAGTGAATTCGACTAATTGGAAAGAGAAATTGGAATAATTGGATCTGAAATTCGACAAATTACATCGACGAAAAATGTTGCCTCATTGAATCGAAATCATCCATCGGCAATTTTGGCTAATTTTCCGAATAAGAAAAAAAAATGAAGCGCGTCCAATTCAATGGGACTAAGTTTCAAGTGGTGCCTGTTTCCATGGAAGAGATTATAGTGGGAAAATTGAATTGGTCATTTGAACACAACCGACGGGCAAATGACATAGCTACAATGCACAAACACACTCTTTCATCATATCATTTGATTCACATAATGAATGAGCAATTTTTTATTCCATACGCTGATCCTTCCCATCTCTATCCACGTCACGTATATCGTTAGGTGTTGCAGAAGCAATGAAA